GTGTGTCTCTATGTGTATATATATGTATATACATATATTTATATATATGTATATATATGCATGCATATATATAACATTGAAGATTGTTTCACAAGGTAAAAAGGGAAGAAATGATAAATTAATGCGACGTGAAAACACTACTGTTCTTAAAGTTTTAATTGCTCATAGTGCATTTAGTTGTTTGCTTATGAGTTGTGGCAATTTACCCCTAGAATAGAACAAGTAGACAGCATAATCTAATTGTTCTCGCTTAGAATTAATCAAGTACAAAAGCTAGTTTAATTCAATGAGACTTAATTATTTTTGTAGGAAAAGTGTTTTTCTATGACCACATAATGACCAGACACAGCCTCGTTCGTTTTGCGCAGCATTAGCTTTCAAATAACCACCTTTGGAGTATGAAAAGTTTTCAAAACAGAGCTTTTAACGAACCAAACTATTTGCAAACATATTCATGTTTTTCTCATTCGAATTTGAAAAAAAGCACGATCATTTAATAATTGAATTGAATTCGAACATAATATTAAGCTCCTTTAATACTCAAGCCGAACACGAATCTGTTTGTGAACTATTCTAATATTTCGTGAATATATATATATAAATATAAATGCATTTAATATTATTAAATTTATATTATATTTTACTAAAATGTATTATACATAAATTAGCATTATTTATTTTTTAAAAATAATAAATGCAATTAAACTGATTCTAAATAATGTATTATTTATTAAAAATATAATTAAATTGTCTTCAAAATCAAATCCAGCTCAAATTTGGCTCGTCTAGTTCAATGAGTAGAGGTTGAACTTGAATGTTTGTACAAATAAACAAATCGAATTCGAACAATATTTGAAATTCATTAATATTCGAACTTAACTTGAACCCTGTTCATAGAATACGTGAATTGAGCCTGAACATCAAGTATTTGACTCAATTTGACTCGTTAAAAGTTGTATGTCAAAACATTTCTTCAAAAATTTTGACTATTACGAGGATCCAGCCCCATCCATTAGTGCACAGAACTAGATCTGATTCACCAAGAAAGCCGGAAACCTAAGTGATCAAGATCGAATCCAAATCTGAATGTAAAACTAGAAAAACTCGGACCTCTCTGGACATGATCTAACAATGGATCAGGCTCGGGTCAAGCCAGGATCTGGCACCAGATCATAGTTCATCACTTTGTTTTGTTTGTCAAAATTCCATTTCTATGTTTCAAATCTTATATTGCATCTTTCAAAACTAATTTTTATATATTTTCATAATTTATTTATACATTTTGAGTCGTATTTGTACATTTAAAAATTTTATTTACAAACTGATCCAACTGCAGGTTTAGATGCATAATATATTACCTTTTTTCAAATTTCAAATTTTCTTTTTGCACATATTTCATATACTTACTTGCTTGTGTAATATATTGGGCTAACCATGTAAACCATATTAGCTTGAATAAATGTCCAAAGCACAGCATCCTCTATGTTAAAAAATCAACTAAATTTGGCTATTTAGTGTAATCATATTTAATATTATATCAAAAAAGTACAACATTGATATCATATTTGATCCCTCTTGTTTTTGGTCCCTCATATATATATATGTATGTATGTATGTATCTATTTTTTTTTTAATTCTTAAAAATATATCGGTCTCTCCTGTTTGGATTCTTCTCAACGGTTAATGCTTTTGTTAACTTTAAGTACTTCGTCAAATCACAAATTCCAAACATCACATACTACAAATGTCACTAACGCAGAGGAAAAAGACTGGGTTGGTTGGAAAGGTGTTTAAAAAAAAAAAACAATGTTTCTCATCATTAAAATTTTGCAAAAAGATCGCGAGGCAATCCCAACTGCAACAAGTCTCAGCATTGCTCATGCTCAGTGGCTTGCTTCGTTCTTGCCTGATCCTTGCTAGGTTCTATGACTTTGAATTCTGGTCTAGACTTGATGTGCTGGAGGCTGTCTTCTATGACAGCTTGAGCCGTTGTTTCTGTGATGTAGAGTGAATACTCACAGAACTTTATCTGCATCTGTGATGTAGAGCCATTGCTATAATTTGAGCAATTCCGTAATGCTATACATCCGCGGGTTTATTAACCCTCAACTTGTTTGAGATTTCCAGTGAAATAGAAAAGTACAAGATAGTCAGCTGAATTAGCTGATAAGAACTTCCAATAACCATCTTTCAGGGACAAATTTAGCAATGTTTATGGCCAGTGTGGGAGTCAAGAATTTAATGCAGGGTGCCTATTGACATTCATTATCAAGTCTAGAAATCATTTGCTTTGGTTTTTCTCAATTTTATAATAGAACAAAAGAAATTCATTACATTTGATTATACTACAACAAAAAAAAATTGAAATTTAAGTAATTTGAGAACATGCTTTAATTACTATCCAAAAATAATGGTTTACTTGAAGGCTGACTTGGCACGTCGAGTCAAGCATGAGGGGAGGTTTTAGTGGCTAATCCAAATCATTATCTTTAAGTTTTATGCTTTTTATATGAACACACTCCATTTCTTGGTGGTTCCAAGACGCAAAAAGGGAGCTTTCCAATCCATGCAAGTCTCTATCGTTGAGCCAATCTGGAACCATTATCCTGTTTTTTTTTTTAAATATTTTTTTAATATAAACACAGTAGTTTGTTCTCCCCTAGAATTTGATCCTCCTTGTCCTGCAGGTAATCTGCAAGCATTATCATTGAGTCTTCTTTTTTTTTTTTTTTTTTTTTTGTATACATAAATACAGCGACTCTTTTTATATCATATAAATACAGTGAATTGCCCTCCCATGGAATCTCACCCTTGTGTTAATCTGCAAACATTACCCTTCAGTTTTAATATTTTTTATTTAAATACATTGATTTGTTCTTGGTCCCCCCAAGCCATATAAAAGGAGCTTTTCGTTCCATGCAATTCTCTGCTGGATTACGAGGTGTAAATATCGCTTCATCTCATCTCATCTCATCTCATCTCAAAAAAGGAAGTTCATCTCAAATCAACTTCTTGATTAATCAAAGCAACTTCTTGATTAAATTTTTAAAAAAAAAACACACACACACACACATATGCAAGGCACATGCATGACGAGGACGACCATCCTTTGCCAAGAACTCCTTGGTGCTAATTTTCTAATAATTTTAGAATTTTCTACCAAATGCAACCATGAGGAATTAATGTTCCCACTAATCTATAGTTTTTGGAAAAATTACAACCCCATGATTGGTTTTAATTTCTTGTTATAGATTTTTTAAAAGTGCGATAGATATTTATAGATTTATATTTAAATGTGCTGAATGGGTACTTATTGAAAGAACTTTGAGGAGTGAGTTTTTTTTTAAAGTGTAATTAGTTTAGTAAAGTATTTGTATTACAATAAGTGCAAAAATCGTGATTGTGTATATTTGCGTGATAAATTAAATATAATTTAGATATATTTGCACGTGGCCCGGCACGTTTTTAAAAAATCCATTAACAAAAGGATGAGACTTTAGTGGATGCAAATTAAGCGCGGAAATGATCAGGAATAAAGAGGGGAGGTGCGAAAAAGAAATTAATTAAATCGAAAGCTGCGGCCAAAAGCAATTTTTGGACGGCACCAAAAGCTGCGGCCAAAACCACATATGCTATTCTTGTTCATCAGGTTGACACGTTGAACAGTAGTAGTAGTAGTACTAGATAGGGAAAAAGGGTGATTGCTGTCTGTATTTACAAATAGTAAAAACTGGAGATTCTGAGCTTGCAGTTTTTTCAATTTTTATTTTGAAATTCATCGACTCCAAGGTAAAAACCTTTTATGTATTTAATAAAAAAAACAATTTTTCTAGTGGTGTAGGAATAAGATTTAAGAAGTAGAGAATGAAAAGGAGGATTAGAATTCAAGATTTTGCAAAATATACATACCAGTAAGCTTGTTTATTTATTCGTTTGTATGGAATGTTTGTCAAACAATCTTCTGTGCTTCATCTAAAGGCCAAATTTAAAAAGAATTGGTAGCGTGTTGAGCAATTATATGATTAACAATTTTAATGATGTAAGAAATTGAACCATAAACAAAAGCTGTAAATAGAACAATTGTCTAATAGGCCCCAGTACCTTTTCAATTGTCACCAAAATAATACATATGATTGTTCAATATATACACCTATGAGTATGTAACAAATAGAAAAATATTATTAAAATTTTGGGTGTATTTGTTGAAATCATTTTCAACAGTTTTATATTTTTTACACTAGATAGTAGATAGTTCATCAAAATAAAGTGTATAAATAGACAGTTATTTAGAAGTAATATGCAAATATATAATTGTTTGTTGCTACTTGGTAAGAGGAGATATTGGGTAGTTATCAAAGACAGTTCATAAAGAGCATAAAGCGACAACAATATGTTTATACCAAAAAACCCTTCTTTATATATATAAAGTTGCATTTATATATATATATATATAGCATAGATAATTAGTATAAAAAATATAAATACTAAAACAACAACGTACAAAATGCAACTTTTAATGCAAATATTTGCATGTTAGTCTCTATTAAGGTCTACATTTATCATCGGGCACTCACAAGTCACTCTTTCTTCTCAATTTTCTTGGTTCTGGCGTACTTTGCATTTAGCCTCAACAGTTCAATTTACAGAAAAATGCAAATTAATCTTTTAGCTCTGTAGAAAAACAACTGTCTAGTTTTTATATATGCTTCTACACATGACGAGTATTTTTCTTTAAATTACTCCCGAACATTCCCAAAAATCTTTCACTTGCCATAACCTTATAGACGGCAAATGAAAAGAGTGGATGGCAATTACATAGAAGAACTGCATTTCCACCAAGTTTTTTACATAGAAGAACCTTGCCGTACTGAAGCACCAATATGAACAGCAAATTAATTGTACAAAGGTGATGAGTTGAAAATTTTCCTGTAGAGTAAAAGTATCTCTCTTTTTTTTTTTTTTTTTTTGTATAACATGAAATTGACAGCCCAGTGAAACCATTTGCAGAAAGTGATAAAACAAGAGACACCATAGTTGTGCCGTCGTGGAAGGCGAGAAGTGGGAATTGAAAATGAGAGAAGGAATGAGCGATACAACAAACAAACGTCTGACTTAGTATCATTCTACCAACTAGACTCTTGGTCATCTAGCTGACAAGACTTAATTGTACATTGAGCAACTTATGGAACAACCTATAAGCTGCACAATGACCACAGTAAAGCTTGCCATACTGGAGCACCAATATGAACGACCAAATTAATTGTACGAAGGTTCACAAATGCTGATCAACTGACCAACATTTCGATTGTTGTCCTACCTAGTTTGCTTAGTGTTTTCATACAAAAACTCAGATCTGTATCACATGTTATCAAAATCCATTCATTAAGTTCATCCTGATACTTAATTTTAAAACTTCCAAGGGATAGATTGAATCGTTGTGCAATGTTCTTCTCCAGATCAATTTTACGGGCAGAAGATGAAAGTTCAAATTTTATATTGTCCTCCTGATATTTTACCTTGATCACCCACATGCTGATATCATCTTCTAGCCTCGTTGCATCTGACTGGTGGTTTTCTTCAATATATTCAGTAGCGGGTTGAACAGTTTTCTGTACAGCAAAGGCTTGACTAACCTTTCTTGCTTTACGAGGTGGCCATCTGTTAATACCGTACTCCCTACATATACGCTTCAATGTAGATCGACTAACTGCAGATTTCAGAAAGGAAAACTTAAGTGAATGAAAAAGCCTTTACAACATGTAAACTAGATCTTTCCAAACAGATCTAGATCAAAACAACATGCATTAACCAACATTTGAATTCAATTCTGATCTAGAGAAATGCTACAATTAAAAATTACCTCCAATATTTTTTGCAGCATCTTCAAGTTTTCTTGTAGAATTTTGTTCAAGAATCTCACGAGTAATTCCAAGGTCGCTTTTTAAGGTATAACTAGGCTCTCGCATTTTTAAATTAGTCACTTTATTGCCGCTGTGTTCTATACTAGCATCATCTCTGTCAGGATCTTCCACAATTGGTTCATGATCCGCTACGCTGAAAATGTTCTGCATAAGCACCTGTCCAGTTGAAGATCCAACAATTCCATTTTGCTGTTCATAAATACCATTCATAGAATTGTGCACGACATCAACTCCTGCAAGATTTAATTCTAGATATGATCTGTCGACAAAGCCCTGTATGCGCTCTGGTCTAGGTGGGGATCCAACAATTCCACTCTGCTGTCCATGGACACCATTTATATAAGCATTTGCAGAATCAACTCGCTGAGATGAGAAATCACCTTGCATCATTCCTTCCCCTCCTTGTGCTTTTGCAAGCCTAGGTGTAGATCCAACACTTCCATTCTGCTGTTCATGGATACCATTCATAGAACCATTTGCATCATCAACTTGTTGAGATGGGAAATCAAGTTGCAGCACTCCTTCTCCTCGCTGTACTTCTCCAAACCTAGGAGTAGATTCAACACCAGTAGTACTGCAGATTTCAAAAGAATCAAATTCATTCTCTGGAGAGACCTTTATAACCTCAACAGTCAATTTCTGCCCCAATTCTTGTCCTGAAGCGATCTTAAAAGAACTCTGGAGGCTTTCTTCCAATGTTTCCATTAGAATGTGCAACAATGCCCTGGGATCCCTACAGTCCTTTTCATTCATAGGTAAAAAGAACTCCAGTACGTAAATGCAATTGTTCGAGCAAGAGCTCTGCAAACAAACTGCAAAACAGGCAGAGTACTTGTAGGATCGTGCAATGGGTACCAACGGGTAGTTTGTTATGCTTAACTGTCTTATATCCCTACAAAAGCATGCACTTTTGGATGAGAATGCTCTCCCAACTACCCCTTGTCCCTTCCGAATAAAATCTATGCCACGATGACGACTTAGTATTTCTCCAGAAATAGTCCAAGTTTTTATATCACCATAACCCAGTCCACATATTTCCCTCACCTTGCTCAATGCTTCGTCAATTATAGCAATTTCTCCACGTTGACCTGTAGAGGATTGGCTTAAAAATATTAGCATGGAATGAATAGCCTAAAGCTTCAGCCAAGATTATGCAGTATAAAAGAAGGAAAAAAAACACTTAGAGGTACTCACATGAATTTACTTTCGCGAGGAGGCTTACACAAGTAGTTGTCAGATTCAACTCCCGTGGTAGATTCTGCAAACACATTATCCATGAGCCATAAATAAATTAAAGTATAATTTACAAGTTTCAAAGTGTTTGTTTCGGCATTTAAAAGCTGTTTGACAACAACAGATTTGCAACCCCAAAAAAAAAAAAAAGAATAAGCTCTTTGAATGCGTAGTCAACTAATTTTGGTATAGAAGTTCCGAAAAGCCAAAACCTCCTTCAAACGCCATAGATTTTTTTAGCATCAACATCTTTCGCTTAAAAAATAATTTAAAAAGAGAAGATTTAATATTAAGGTGACAGTCATAAGCAGTTAAAAAATTGGTTATTGACACATTGAAAACCCGTGACCTATCCCAGATTTGTATAGGACGTGGAGATATACAAAATTCATGCCAAGCATCTCGCCTATTCTAAGTTGGATTTATCACGAAATTCTTATAAGTGCCAAATTTTTGTTTGGTCTTGAGTTCACTACAAACTTAAAATCATTAATGTTATGCTACCACAGGTCTTGCACTATATAACACACAAGACAATGGTTGGTTACGTCATAAATTACCCTCTGCATCCATTACCTAGTTCAAATAATAAATGAATTAGTTACCTTTAAATTAGTCATCACAGTAAGTATGCTCTGAAGTGACCGCAAAGCGGAGACATGTACGTTTGTAACTCTCATAAAAATGAAAACTATGGTCGGTGGTGAAGGAGCAATTATCCGAAAGAGAAACACAAACGAAATGATGAATTAGAGTCAGATTGGTTGTTTTATCACAACTGTCTGTACCCATTTCATATACTATATTAGCTAATTTTTTTATAAAAATTATACTAATAATTATATAACTCATAAATGATAAACAACACCACCCCAGGTCCTTGTCAGCAATAGGAAAGAAGTAATTAAGCAACTTAAAAACAGAAAAGTCGAACCTTAAGCTTCTCCAGAACCCGAAAACGAGGAAGGCAAGTATAACTTGGTGATGCAAATTCCAGTGTACCAATGGGGAGGTGCTGAGTAGGATGATAATAGATTGGCAACGCCCAGTATTCCGCAACACGGCTAATCGCATAATCACGTTGAGGATACTCTCTGCTAGTGTAATCACCCACATTCCATGCATATTCAGGCAACCCACTGCGAAACACCCGACCAGGGGGACCAATTATACGCTGTACTTCATCACCATCATCATCGACGGGTATTAAGTACTCCAAACAGTGCTTCCTGTATTCACATAGCTTCTTGACGTCTAGATGACTGGAGCACTGCAAAGCAAAAGGCTGGTCACGAGTTGTCAAATACGTTTTGTCCTCATTCTTCACTAAGCCCCAAAACTGAACTAGACACCGCTCGGTTTTCGTAACAAGCTGTAGAAGACGTTTGATCTGGTCCTTAATCACGGCACCGTCAGCAGCTGCAATAGTAAAATCAGTATACTAAAATATTAAAGGGTGCTTGCTAGTATATAGTATTGTATCATTTATTTATTAATTGCAGAATACTCTACTGATTGACCCGTATTTTGACCGAGACCCCCAAAAAAAACCAAAAGTCAAAGAACGATTAATTGAATAGCTTCAAGACAAGAGCGGCCGCCGCCCCCCAAGAGTTTCTAACAATAGTTTAATTTGTCATCAAACTAATTGAATATTTTCTGTTCTAAAGAGTCCAACAAAAATATCCACATACATACGTACATACATATTATATACGCGAGATTATTGAAAGGACTCCATACTTACTGGCTGAAAACCCATCTGCTCCTTCGTCATTGCCGCATCTGCTCCAGAAAACCCACCAGGTATAATTATTTTTAATCCGCCCCAAAAATGATGATGATTCACATGAATGGGAGTATGATAGTTCACAAGGCCCCAAACCTTCCGTACAAAAAGGAGGGGAGGGAGAAGTTTGAGCTTCCATTGCCATTTGTACAGGGCAAAACTGGCTAATCTTCTGGATCGATCCTGTTCCCCGATCTATTGTATAGGAAACTAATATATATCTACACATACACACGCGAAGACTTCCAAGTCAATGGTCGACGAGAAAAAGGACCGACAGGCGAGAAATAACAAGGAAGCAAACAGCAGCGGGCAAGGCAAACGAGAAACAAAAAGTGGTCGCCCTAACAGTTCAATAGGTTCCAAAAATCTCAAATGGTTCACGCGGTTCTAACAATACTTTATAGGTAAGAGTGCTGTGTCACTGGCAAAGTTGATGTATTGTACATGATCGAGGAGCAATTTCTCTATGCCCCTGTGGGATTCTCCATCCCACATCGGTTCTGTGGTCAGGGGTTTGGATTATAAGTCTCCGAGGACCTCAAATGTTGCCGGTTTTGAGGTTTCTTCTGGAGTTAAATTTATAACAAAAATTCTTACTTTCGTATAGGGGTGCACACCAATCGAGTAGCTTGAATCAAGCTCGCGAGTAGCTTGATTAGCTACTCAATTCGAGATCGATTTTGTTCGATCTCGAGTCGAGCTCAAGTAGATCGAGTATATGAAACGAGTCGATCTCGAGTAGTTAGGATGAGATATTTTTAGCTCGTCGAGTAGCTCGAGTAGGGGTGCATGATCAAATCGAGCTCGAGTACTCGAGCTCGAGTCGAGTACCCGACTCAATATTGAGCTCGTGTTAAGGGTGCAGGATGAAATCGAGCTCGAGCTCGAATGACACGCCGAGCTCAATCGAATCGAGTTCGAGCCTATTTATGTTACTACCGAGTCGAGTTCGATTTTTATTTCTCGAGCTCGAGTTCGAGCTCTGGAGGTCAGCATCGAGTTTGAGCTCGAGTATGTCACTACTCGAGCTCGACTCGACTCGATTTCACTCCTACTTTCGTAACAAAAGGTCAAAAGCAACAATTTCTATACTCCTTTTTTCTTTCGGGAGAAGTGCTAAGATAAATAGCTAATCCTTCACATACATAAGCAACAAGGAAGCCGCCGTTGTTGACTACGGGCTCTTGCTTTTTACTTTCGTTTGGCGCAATTGAAGAGAGCAATCAGGCTTTCTCATATGCCTTGGGTTGGAGACAATTAAGAAAAACAAAAATTCCTTGTTCGTTTCTTCTGTTGTTGACCGAAATTGAGAGAGCCGATTTGACAATTTTTCCCAATTCTCCACGCATGACTTGTTCTCCATTAATAAATAGGGAACTACCTTCTCAATTCTATTAATAGAGAACTAACTTCTCAATTCTAGTCAAAGAGACAATTGACGATTTGATTCAACAGTTACTGTGAGATCTAAATTATTTTAAATATTTTTTTATTTATTAATATTTATATATTTTCTACCTTTAATTATTATAGTTCTTGTATATAATTAATTAATACATAATAATTAATTATTTATATAGGCTATTTTACTAATTAGGAATAATTGAATCCGTAATTATTCTATTATCTCTATCTCAATAATAACTGACATAATTAAATTTATATCAGAGAAATATATGATCTAATTTAGATTGCTTCTGAGAGTTAGATTTATAACAAAAATTCTTACTTTTGTAAGAAAAGGTCAAGAGGAACAATTTCTCTACCCCTTTTTTTTTTTCGGGGAGAATTGCTAAAATAATCCTTCACATACATAATCAACAAGGAAGCCGCCGTTGTTGACTACGGGCTCTTGCTTTTTACTTTCGTTTGACGCAATTGAAGAGAGCAATCAGGCTTTCTCATATGCCTTGGATTGGAGACAATTAAGAAAAACAAAAATTCCTTGCTCGTTTCTTCTGTTGTTGACCGAAATTGAGAGAGCCAATTCTCCGCGCATGGCTTGTTCTCCGTCAATAGAGAACTACCTTCTCAATTCTAGTTAAGGTACAACTGATGATTTAGTTCAGCAGTTATTGTGACATGTAAATTATTTTAATTATTTTTTTTATTTATTAATATTTATATGTTTCCTGCTTTTAATTATTATAGTTTTTGTGTATGATTAATTAGTGCGTAATAATTGATTATTCATATAGGCTATTTTATTAATTAGGGGTAATTGAATCCGTAATTATTCGATTATCTCCATCTCAATAGCAACTGGCGTAATTGAATTTATGTCAGATAAATATACGATCTAATTTAAACAAACCCTCGTAGCGTGTTTGTTAGTTAGAATCAGGCTTTTCTAAATCTTAATGCAAGCCAGAAATTAAATTCTACGGTCGTATCTAGAATTGTTTTCGGGTTAGAGAAGTAGTTAACGGCCATACCCTAATTATCGATAAATTAAGGAGAGGTTGGTTGTTTATCGTGTGCATGACAGCTATAATCAGTCTATTAATAAATTGTGGAATTATTTGTGAATCGATGATTAGTTGCATGAACCATTTCTGAAGTATACCCTTGACTAGAGTTCTCCCAATTACTTCTTTTAATTAATTATTTTCTACATTTAATTTATTTAGTTAGCATTTAATCCTGGAAACCCCTATTTGTCTTAACTCGAAAGAAAACAAATTTCTTCCCAGTCCCTGAAGAGACGACCCTGCTTGTCACTGTCTGCTAGTTAGTGAATTTAGTCAGATAATTAATTCTGGTATATCGGATTAAGCAAATTCTTCGGGAACATGGTGAATCAAGTAACCCATTACACACCTAAAGTCCCTACTCTAGTATTTAGAATTGATTATTAACTATTTTTTATAGTAGTTAGGTTTTATTATTGTTATTGCACAGGTTCGGCACCTGTCACAAATACATATCCTTTGTTCTCATTCGAGCCTCTACCTTTCATTATCCTGATATGCAATTAGCATGCAAAACCTCTGCAGTATAAGAAGTCAAATAGACATTGCACATTCAACAAGGATGGAAATGATTTACCTCTGTAACTTCCCCCATGGATCCGCAAACACCTAAGGTCATCTTTAGAAACATCTTGAGTAAAGCCACTGAGGTAAACCTTTGAACCATGAGGAGGAAGTGCAAGAAGAAGAAGCAACAACAAAATAGCCACTGCCATACCAATTAATAACAAAGAAACTCAGAAAAGCAACTTATTTCATCATTACAATCACTTAAACCCCGGGAAAGTAAGAATGATAAAATGCTGGAAAAAATGTACGGCACCTCATCCACAGAGGTCTCTTGCCGACTTGTCCGAAAAAGGTGCTGAATTTTTGGTTAACCAAACCAGATGTGACAAATCCCACATTACCAATACATCCCTCAAAAAAAGCACAAACTCCAAAATACAGTAGAGGCTCCAGATGTAAATAGGGACAGAGCATAGTGCTAAAACCGTAACTTCATCGAATTTCTGAGCCCAACCACCAAAATAGCAAGCCAACCTCTCCACTGTTCCTTAAGAAGGCCGCGTCCAGCACATGAAGTTGCGTCCAACGCATTTCTAGCCCAGCAAATGAAGCCCCCGTGCAGGAGAAGACTACCAACGCCATCTCAGCATCCACATCATCAGCGGCAAATCACTTGATGCCACATCAGCGGATGACGATATCCTACGTGGCACCCGATCTTCCACACTTAGGGGCTGCTTGTTTCACAGATTGGAATCGAAAATGGGAATGGAATCATAAACTCTGGTTTTGGAATTAAACTTTTCATTCCAATATCTAACTTGGTTCACACATTGGAATTAGTATCATTCTAATTCCTGATGCTTGGTTTGATGAGTGTTTCAGAATTAAATGCAATTAAATTTCAAATTTACCCCTGATATAACAATTCTTATAAAACAAAGGGATAATTGCAGAAACTGGTAGGTTTTATATTTAACAAAAATATGAGACTTTGTAGGTTTTGAAGTTTAAGGAAGGGATATTTGAAGTTTAACGACCGTTATACAACTTTCAAAACAAACAAATTCATTCTATTTTTTTTTGGATAATTTCATAAACTAAATCGCTGTCACTTTCACAAAAGTCATATTTTTCCATAAAAGACCAGCTCTTTATGGTTTTCCTCTATTATAAGAACAGAGTACCCATTTTCCCATAAACAAATTTATTTATCGGATAAAATAAAAATAAATCCGTTTTCAAATAAAATACCAGCTCTTTATGGCTTTCCTTCATTATAAGAATAGAGTACCCATTTTCCCATAAATAAATTTATTTATCGGATAAAATAAAAATAAACTCGTTCTCCAATAAAACACCAGTTCTTTATGATTTTAGAATGAAGGGTTACAATCTTGCTGTCTCTATCACCGTCAACTTTTGACTCCCTACTTCTTCCATCCCACCCAACACCAGAACGAAAAAGATTTCACAAAAGATCAAACATTGCATGAAATGATCAACTATAAAGCTTTATTAATATGCCAACCTCAACTATGTTCAAATGCTATACTGAGCAAGTTCTTAATATACAAAGAATAATTCGTACTAAATCTCACAATTAATTCACAGCAAGTCATCCTTCCTGCATTGAACAAGACCCCTGAAGCGAAGATCTTTGGATTGAGGTTCTTAATATACTGAGCAGGTTCTTAATATACAAAAAACAATTCATACTAAAATCTCACAATTAATTCACAGCAAGCCATCCTTCCTGCACTGAACAAGACTCCTGAAGCGAAAATCACAAACCCCTTGGATTGGGTTGAGGGTTTTCTTCAATTTTTCTTAGAGATCTTTCTCGTGGAGATCTTGTTGAACAATTTGCCCACTGAAGATTTTTGCCCACTATTAATTCATTTAGATCTACTTTAGATCTTTTTTTTTTTCAAGAGATTTTGGATTACAGATGAAAACTATATGATGAAGAAGAAGAGATAGGAAAACTGTGAGAGCCCGTAAATTTTCTTATTTTCTAGGCGATACTTTATTTAATTGCACGCCTTTTATGCATTTTCTTTATTAGAAAAATTTTCTAAATAATTTTTATGAGTAAATAGAATTTTCAAGTTATTTTTCTAGTATAAATGAGTTTATGAGAATTTTGGAGCGTATACTGGACGTGGGACCCACTAGGGCGAAAAGTTCGGAAAAATTCGGCCAACTAGATTAAATTTTGGATGCTGGAA